GTCCTGGAGTGGCCTAGCCAGTCTCCAGACCTGAACCCAATAGAAAATCTATGGAGGGAGCTGAAACTCCGTGTTGCCCAGCGACAGCCCCAAAACCTGAAAGATCTGGAGAAGACCTGTATGGAGGAGTGGGCCAAAATCCCTCCTGCACTGTGTGTGTAAACCTGGTCAACAACTACAGGAAACGTCTGACCTCTGTAATTGTAAACAAAGGTTTTGGTACCAAATATTAAGTTCTATTTTTCTATTGTATCAAATACTTATTTCATACAATAAAATGGAAATAAATTATTTAAAAATCTAACAATGTGATTTTCTGGAATTTTTTAGTAGATTCTGTCTCTCACAGTTGAGGTGTACCTACGATGAAAATTAGAGATCTGTCCATTCTCTGTAAGTGGGAAAACTTGAAAAATCGGTGGTGTATCAAATACTTATTTGCCCCACTGTATACAGTAAATGAACATACTTTCCAGAAGGCCAACAATTCACTAAAAATGTTTTTGTTTAGGTCTTATGAAGTATTCTAATTTATTGAGATAGTGAATTGGTGGGTTTTTGTTAAATGTGAGCAAAATCATCACAATTAAAAGACCCAACGGCTTAAACTACTTCAGTCTGTGTGTACTGAATTTGTATAATACATGAGTTTCACTATTTGAGTTGAATTACTGAAATAAATTGACTTTTCCACAATATTCTAATTTATTGAGATGCACCTGTATATATGACTGTTTGGCTCCTAGAGTTTACACTGCATTTTCAGTGCTGAGCCAACTGGTCAGATTTGGAAGAAAATCTTATGGATTCTGGAATAAAATACAAAGAGGGTGCTCTTCTTTCAGAATAAATGCATGTAGAGCTTTTATCATTTGGGTCAAAGGGAGAGAGAGAAAGGAGCAGAGATGATCCTCCCTAGTCAACAGAAGCAAGCAGGAGATGAGGACAGGTTTATAATAAACATTTGAGATGCTAATGTTTAGGTTTTAATTAGAGCGCTAAAATTAGTGATAAATGAAGTTATCAAAAACAAATTAATATATTTTGTTTTGAACATTTCCTTCCTAACGTGTTGTTTAGGTGTTTACTGACATTCTAAATAACTTTGTTATCAACTAGTGAACTAATTCTCTGGGTTATAGTGATGTCGTGGCTAGAATGTGATACAGACTAAATTCATTCAGACAAATCATCCCAATTTAAATAATCATTTAATATTACAATTATTCTGAACAGAGTGGTAGTTAAATAGGTAATCTGGTAGTTAGGGAACAGAGAACAAAATGACTCCTCCTGCAATGGAATAGATACAGTATTAAATAAGAAGATTGTCACAGAATCAGTCAGTCAGTCTTGGTCACAGGGTACAGTCAGAGTCCAGAGTCCCCCTACCCAGGCCTGGGTCCAAAAATTACACGGTTCACCGTCACGGTAGCATTCTTCCTCTATCTATACCTTTCAGCCTCACAGTTTTTATCCACAGCTTTCTTTAGGATGTTACGTCAATTTCCGAACTTAGCTTCCTGTCTCCAGTTTTTACGAGACAACACCCTGAGATGTACCCAAAAACAGGAAACATCTTGGCCAAATTATATAAGCTCATTGTTCAGCTCACATGAACTTAAAAGTGAACACACAAACACTATTCCATTACATAATCCATATTAACATGCAACTTAAACCACTACAGTCCCTCCTCCCGTGGTCCAAAGGCCACAGAACTTTCAAACTCTGCAAAAAAACAAAACAAGTACCACAAAAGCAAAGAAGAAACTGAAAATGACCATGTTTGCCTGAGACTTTAACACTACTAAACCCTAACAGCTGTAGTTGAACATTAACCTCTTCCTGCATCTAAAAGTTAAATCTAAAATAATTTATTACAGAACTAACAACTCCTCAATAAACTTTTAATCTTAAGAGTATTTCCTTCATACTCCACCGAAACATAACTTCAAACAACTCAGTCAAATCTCTAGCTTCTCACACCTTTACGAAGTTAGTAGTGATTAACTATGGTGAACAAATTAACTATATGAAATAACTTCCTATTCATAACAGATTACAAATAAACAAACATGAACATAAAAATAAACAACCAGCATGAGGTGATTTTGTTCCCCTTGTAAGATAAAAGTTCACCCTAACAGAGTGTATTCCATACCACATGTTGTGCATTAACTAGTATTAACTATATTCTGATTATATTCCGTTTGCTTTAACCACTACAATGAAATTCAGAGAGAGAGAGACCTATAGAAACCCAATAAATGAGAAAACCACTTCTGGAACGAATTTACAGTCACTGTAATTGAACTATAATCTGATGCGTGCATGCTTTGCCGTTTGTGTACGCGTTTTATTTGTAGCCCATTTTTCTCCCGAAGAACAATTTCTGCTCTTTGGTGATGTCTGTGTCGGACTTCGTGCATAGTTCAGCTCTCCCACTTGCCTAGATAGTGCCAGTGCATTTTTTTGGCTCATGTTATTAGTAGCTCATGTCCTACTTAAAGGAGGACTCTGGTGGGTTTCAGCCACTACTAACTTCAAACTGGGTCGTCACTAGACGTGAGCAGCTCGTAGGCACAACCTAAATGTTTGATCTGTTCAATCCACAGACTCCGACCTCCATGGACATTAAGACTTCTGAAGGACCTGCAGCCACTCTGGAGATAGCTTTCACCTCAACAATAAATACACATTTTAATATTGGGCAATCTTGTCACACCCATGCTCTGTATATAGCCTATGCACATCTGGATGGATGGACAATTTGGGACATTCCTATTTCTAATGCACTCATACTTTATCTGGGTTAATTCTGTACTACGTGAAAAAAAATTATTTTAATAGGAGTACTCTGTAGAGGAAAGCAAACATGTCACAAGTCTTACCTGTTGTATTTACAGATGACTTCACTGCACCCGATGTAGAAGTTTCAGTCAAGCTGCAATCTTTCATCTGAGCATCACCATCAACCTGCATGGAAAAACAATTTTAGCACCTGGATTTAAGAAAATCACCGCAGTGTGTGCAGTGCGCAACATCTTGCATGCAGCTCGCCGGAGGCCCACACTTGTGTCTACACCAGGCACGTGTTCGCATGCACATTGGAAGCACTTAGTGTACACAAACCACAGAGGAGTCTACAAAACACGCCACCAAAGGGAAAACCAGTCCAAAACTTTGACAGTACAATGCACTCAACCCATGGTAAAACACAGTAAATGAACATTTACACACATTTAAAAAGAACTGCCATGTGGTACAGGAATGACATAACTACTGCTCACTAGGGATGGGACAACATATTTAATTTCAATATATTGTGCATCACTTTGTCTGGCACTACACATTGTGTGGTCTTCATACAGCAGCGACTTCATTTTTCTTGTAAATTGAATTTTTAATTCTATTGTGATAAAAAAAAAATATAAAAATTACATCGTCCCATCCCTACTGCTCACCACTGTTTAAGAAGTGAGAAGGTATTTTTCCCTCACACAACACGACAGAAGTAAAATGATGTACTATTAAAAGAGGTGAACATTCTTTTTCTAGACCGGAGCCATGTAAATGGCAGAATTCTGCCTACAACACTGGTTCAATAGCATTCTAATTTTTTTCCCCTCGTCATCTCATGGAGTGCTTGTCAAAGCTCAAGTCAGTGTTACCCAGTGTACTGCTGCAGAAGTTGCCCATGTGCACAAAGTGACCAGCGTGTACAGTGATGTTTCAATTACAGACTCACATCCCGGGACTGCATGGGAGGCCAAACAATTCTCCTTCTAGATACAGGAACCCAGGAGGAAGGTGAGGGGCCCGGAGGGGTGTTAACCTGCTAATGTTAACACAGGCAGGTGTATAAATACAATCTCAAACTGTAAGAAAAAGGCCTAATAAACACAGTAAAGTAAAACACAGTAAGATTACAAAATATGAGTTGTCATTTTTTGGCAGTAAAAGCAGTTACTGTTGGAAACACTATGTGCCGACCATAGTGAAAAATATTCAGTAACTGTAAACCAATACATTTACTGCATAATATGATTTTACAAAGACACTCTTAGGGTAGCCTCCAGTGATGTTCTGAGCCTGTTGCGAGCTTTGGACTTAGTTGTGGCCACAATTGTGAATCCTGGTTCACACAGGTATGTGGTCATGAATGGAAGAAGGACTTTCACAGCCCTCAGTGCTAGATGTGGGTACTCCTTTGAGACAACAATCCAGAAGGAGCCTAGGTCCAGTTTGCCCCACTGCCCTTTTAAAGTGCTGTCAGTGGAAACTTCCAGAAGCTGTGATTCCAGATGTGAGGGCAAAGCAACATCATTTTCAGTGGGATCAACTGAAAATGGGTCCACAACCCACATGTGTCCCTCTCTGGGATCCTCAGGAAAGTATTCATTAAATTTTTCTGCCAGTTGTGAGAGATGCTGAGAGACTGAATGCCTGATCTTCACCTGAGGGGAGTTTTTCAAAATGTCAGACAAAAGTGGAAACATGTCCAATCTCTCTTCCTGGGCCCCCTTAGTCCACAAAGCAAGTTTTCTCTTGAAAGCTTGAACTTTGTCTGGAACAAAAAATATTTTGCTATCTCTCCCTTGAAGTGAGATGGAGTGAGAAAATGTCACAGAGGTAGGCAAGTTTAGCTGTGAACTTGGTGTTGGTATAGTAATGTGCAAGAGGAGATTTCTTATCAGTGAGAAAAGAGAAAAACTTCAGTCCTCAGCTCAAAGATACGCTTCAGGACAAGTCCTCTTGAGAGCCATCTCACCTCACCTCACTATGCTAGAGCAGCTGGACATGATCTGCATCCATGCCCGCACAAGGTTTAGCAAAACATCTGGAGTTCACAGTGTTAGATATTTTTAGTCAGATAGATACTTTATGTATTAGAAATGTTAGTGGAGAGAGGATGTCTAGTTAGACTGTTAAATGCTTAGGCCTGCATATGAGTTTCTGCAGAGTACATCTGGTCAAGGACAACTAGAGAGAAGAGTTGATGACTGTCAGCAGACAGGGTGTTTAATGTTATTATTATGATGTGTAAAACTGTAGAGTTAGCCATAATATGTTCCTATGTTCAGTCACAACATGTATTAGAGGTCGTGAGAATGTTTTTAGCTACACACCACTTAACCAACAGACATACACATTCACACGTTGATTTGCTTCATGTTTTGACTATTGCCAGAGCCAGCTGCAAAGCTGGTGAGAGAGAGACGTCTCGGTTGATGTTTCTGTGTAGTATGGGGCTAGCCTGACCGAGGTTTTATAATGTATAGGCCTGTTGTGGTTCAGGGTCTTTCATCTTACATCTGCCTGCGAGCATTTGGAGGTGCAAGATATCTGAGCGTGTAATGTTAATTTTACCTGTGATCCTTTGAATAAATCAGCACTGTTTTGAAGTTACTTGGACTGTCTCGTCTCTCAGAGTTAGTCCTACAACAGCATTATTTTTAACGAAGTTGATGGTTTTCACACTTACATCCATCACCTCGTGGAACTCTGGTGACATTTTTTTTGCGGCAAGTCTTTCAGGGTGAAGAAAACGGTGGGTTCATTTAGCTTCTGGCGCACGATCAAGTATCTGCCTGATGACACCGCGATGCCTGCCAGTCATTGACGCTGCACCATCACTGCACACCCCAAAACAGTTCTGCCAGTCAAGGCCATTCTCAGTGAAGTAGTTATCCATGCAGCGGAAACATTCCTCAGCTGTAGCTCGAATTGGTAGCTCTCCACAAAACAGTAGAGCTGTCCCAGCGGTACCGAACAAAAACCAGCAGCAGCAGCGCAGTATTTGTGACATCAGTCGACTCGTCCAGCTGCAAAGAAAAAAATGTGCTATTTTTTTATTCTCTCCAGAAGCTGATGCTCAATGTCTGAGGCCATGTCAGCAATACGGTGACTCACCGAGTCGTTTGAGAGCGGGATGGTCTTGAGCTTCTTTGCCGCAGCCTCCCCGATCATCTCACAGCACATGTCCACAGCGGCAGGCAGAACCAATTCCTCCACTATGGTGAACGCTTTCTTACTTTGTGCTACACGTCTGACTACGAGGTAGCTGGCCTTCAAAGCACATTTAGCGTCGCCAGTGAGTGACACGATAGATCTTCTCTGTATCTGAAGCCCATTTTCCTTTCTCTGAAGCCCATTTTCCTTTCTCTTGAAATAATCAACCGGCTTTCCAACTAGCTTCGGATGTTTGGTTTCTAGATGCTGCCTTAATTTTGAAGGCTTCAGTGCTTCATTGGATAGCCTTAGCCCAGACTCAACACACTGGGCTCTGCCTCACTGCCTCCGTTCACAAAGCCAAACTTTATCAAATCAGGGTTGTACTTGCGTACAAAGGCGTATTTCGCCTTTGAAGAGGGGCTGGCACCACTTTCATCTTCATTTTTTTCGTTTTAAAAACTTCTCCATGTCTTCTGCAAAAGTTTGCGACTGACTTCTTCTTCTGCTTATTGGAGCATGTTAAACACCTGACTGACGCCTCACTGCCACCAAGTGGTAGAAAGCTGCATTGTGGTCCCGCGGCCCACAAACGCAGAACTGAATTTTTTTGCGGCCCACTAGTTGGCGCTCACGGCCCAAGATTGGGCCGCGGCTCCATGGTTAAGAATGACTGGTTTAGAGAGAGCAAAACTTAAAAGTGGCTTCAAATTAAACGTTAGAGGAGAATTCAAAACTGAACTCAAGCTGCTGATGTGACAGCAGGGCCCACTCCACAAAGTTAAGATGCTGCAAAATGTTTTGGTGCCACCTAAATTTTTTTAGCTGTGGAAGCAGCAAAACAAGCCTGTTTTTCACCAGCTCCAAGTACAGGTATGACACACCATCTCTTGCTTTGAAGTTAGGACACTCGCTGAAGGCAGTATGTGACATTGTAATTGGGGATCATATAAAGGCTGAAAATGATGCAGCTGCAGGCAGAGTAAAGAGCTTCTTGGACTTAGTGGCAGTAGAGCAGGACCTCTTTGTGTCACGCCATTGTTAGGTATTTTTTAAGATTTAGTGATTTGTTGTCTAGAGAGACAGGATGTATATTTCAGGCTGTTAAATGCTCAGTTTATTCTGATGAGTCCTGCAAGACTGCAGTTAGGCCAAGGTTAATTAAATCAGAGAAAAACTGCAGTCAAGGATGAGAGCTATTATGACGGTAAAAGTAACCATAATATTTTTCTTAATGTGGATTGTTGTGTTATAATGTTTTAGCTACACACCACTTAAACAACAGACATTCACACGTTGATTTGCTTCATGTTTTGACTACTGGTTTGGGCCTGCTTTTCTTCAGCAGGGACAGGGAAGATGGTTATAATTGATGGGAAGATGGATGGAGCCAAATACAGGACCATTCTGGAAGGAAACCTGATGGAGTCTGCAAAAGACCTGAGACTGGGGCGGAGATTTGTCTTCCAACAAGACACTGATCCAAAACATAAAGCAAAATCTACAATGGAATGGTTCAAAACTAAACATATCCAGGTGTTAGAATGGCCAAGTCAAAGTCCAGACCTGAATCCAATCGTGAATCTGTGGAAAGAACTGAAAACTGCTGTTCACAAATGCTCTCCATCCAACCTCACTGAGCTCGAGCTGTTTTGCAAGGAGGCATGGGCAAAAATTTCAGTCTCTCGATGTGCAAAACTGATAGAGACATACCCCAAGCGACTTACAGCTGTAATCGCAGCAAAAGGTGGCGCTACAAAGTATTAACTTAAGGGGGCTGAATAATTTTGCACGCCCAATTTTTCAGTTTTTTTATTTGTTAAAAAAGTTTGACATATCCAATAAATTTCGTTCCACTTCATGATTGTGTCCCACTTGTTGTTGATTCTTCACAAAAAATTACACTTTTATATCTTTATGTTTGAAGCCTGAAATGTGGCAAAAGGTCGCAAAGTTCAAGGGGGCCGAATACTTTCGCAAGGCACTGTATGTTCACAAGAAAACATATCAGTATTTGCAGTGTAGTTTAATAGGCTATATATGTCATTTTTTAAAAGAGAGAGAGTGTATCTTTTTGACCAAGACTGGCCAAAGAAGTGCTATACGGGAAAGCATGAGAGTGTAACGAGGTCTCAGAACCCATCCATCCATTATCTACCCCGCTTATTCCTGAACAGGATATTTCTGTCCACCCTGGACAGGTCACCACTCTGTCACAGGGTGACCTGGACCCCACACCCCCAACACACACACACACACACACACGGAGAACATGCAGACTCTGCACAGAAAGGCCCCGGATCGGCCAACAGAAATTCAAGTGTGACAAAGCAAAACTGACAGTTACAACCACAGGTACAAACCCACCTCAGCTAATGCCAAATCAGAGCTGCTCCCTTTCATCCACACATTCTCCCGGATTGGTTGAAAATTCAGCTGGCTCAGCTCTTGCTCTCGTTCCTGATGAGGGAACCATGTCAGACAAATTCTTACAATCAGATGAAGTCCTACAGTGAAATGACTTCATCATTTGAATATGAACAGGAGAGAGAGAGAGAAAAAAAAAAAAAGCCAACCAATTCATTCTTAAATTCATAATGATACTCAAGGCCAATGCAGCTGCTATAGTAGTAAACACCACTGAGGAGTACTGTGATCTCACAATACTTTTGAGTTCATTTACCCTTCTGGGTCTTATTTATAAGAAATGTACAATTTCTAACCGCAGTGTAGTAGGTGCTACTGATAAATTTCAGTTATGAAGTCATTCAGCCAACCTGCCGCATGCGAGAGGCCTGCTTGGAGCTGGGCATTGTAGTTTCCTGGAGTTTCTGATGAATGCCAGATACAAAATTGGAGCAGGACCAAGAGCAAGGGCTGGCAGGGCCCAGAGTGGGGTCAGCCTGGAAGACTGGTGCCTTAAACCGCTCCATTCTCTGACTGAATTCGCCCTCACCTGGAGGAGAAACAATTCAAGAGATAAACTTTCAGAAATATCCTGCTGATGTTTTCTCCTCAGATTCAAAAGACATTTAATATTCAGCACCTGTCTTCCAACTTCCAACGTAGTACAGCCGTTTTAGTAGTTTAAATTTGTGAAGTTTGTTTTTGCAGCACAGTGCCCATAAAGGAGCTTTCAGAAACATAAATATGACAATTAAAATACATATATACACACACACAAATATATACAAATCTTAACAGTCAAATGTGGTTTTCACCTTCTTGTTGCATAATCACATTTTATTCTGTTTATATGACAGGGTCCATTCGTAGAGGAAAAACCGTTACAGTTAAGTAGTGCCACAGATATAATGGGACATCCAGCTGCAGACTATCATCAGGCTTTTAAATTGGAATTGAAGCATCCACAGTACTAACTTAAACAAAGTCAAGATAGATGAAACCATCCGTGTACATGTTTATATACAAGTGTCTACACATGTACATCACACAGTTAACACCGACATTAAAATATGTAAAGTTATGGTATAACTGAAACATGTCCATGACTTTGTTTTTTGCTTTTTAGCTATTTAGTTGATTGATCATTTCAGCCTGTGTAATGTTAAAAGATGACAGTGAATCACTTACAAAATCACGGCACAGGTGAACAGATTGAAAATTTACTCCTGGTTCTCTTCTGAGTAACCAAAAAAGTGTTCAGGTAATTTCCAGAGTCCGTATTGCCATTTCCATTTACACTGACTTTTGTTATACCTTTATTTTGACTGAATTTCAAATTGATTGGTCTGTATACTGCATGCACTTCCACTGTGAATATTGTGGCGATCTGGGTGTTCGCGCACACACAGCACTTCTGAAACTTCACATGCGCACCGTATTCCGGCACAGCCACCCGCTACAATCTGCAAACTATTTGGGTTATATGTACACTCAGTTAAATCATCAGTTTTTGTACATTCTCCCAATTTATACTGTGCAACTCATTTTCAAACAGAGGCAATTTCTGCACAGGTATTTCTGTTCATTGACTGCTACCTCTAGGTCTAAAAAAAAAAAAAAGACAACGTAAAAATATGATCTATTTGGGTTTACCTTCTATGGGTGATTGTTGATTTTTTTTAATTTGCATCCAGTTCAGGTAATACATTTGTTTTTTACCATTATCTACTCAGTTTATCTTAAAGGTTAGATAGTTTATTGTAATGACCTCCACTTATAATTTCAGTATCTGTATGAGATTGTTTTGAGATTTAGAATTATTAAAAGTAGCACTGTATTCAAGAGACATGTCTGATGTTGTTTCTCAGAGGCTTTTTTGGAAATGTGTATTCATCCTTACCAAGGAGATGCTCCATGAAGCTCTTGTTGTGGATGGGGCCGCCAGCCCCAGAACCTGACAGGCGCCTCTGAGTCAGTGGAGTTCCTTCTAAAATGATAAACACTTGTTATAAAATATGGTATTTGTCCAACACTGTTACACCAGCTCAACACTGTGACAACAGTTCTTCTCTTGCATGCAGATAATCCAGTTTGCTTGTTGACCTTGTCTATCATGACAGGACACTGTCTGTAGCAGAATCACTAACAAAATGCACCGTAATTCTC